TGTTATAAATAAATTAATATATTTATAATATCCGAATGAGTAGAAAAATTAAATTTTCTGACATTTCGTGACTCAGAGAATAAATAAATTGTTGTCATCGCAGTGGAAAAATGATAGTATTTAACTCATTGTACGCTGAATTCCATCTCTGTAGAATGTATTTAACAAGCAAATTCACAGTATCCCTAAATCCGAACCCCGAACTCCTGATTCAAAAACAAACCTTAACCACGGTTAACTATATTTCATAAACAACCTAATCAAACAGCGTCGCTTCGATTCTTGTGTGAAATTCACTCATCTATTAGGCTACAGGATACTTTTGCCTTACACCGGATATCACTTAGTGATGAAAAACCTGGTCCTCATCTCAAGTACAAACAATGTCGGAACTCGAAAAAATCTCTTGAGTCCCTTATAAGGGTTCAAACTAGGAATAATCTACATCAGTTTGATCGGACTTATGTGTCGTATTTTTTAAAATTACAAGCAGATTAACTTGAAGAAATCGCTAAGAAATTCATTAATCATGTGAAATCTGTTTATACTTTGTTATATTATTATTTTCTGTTTCATAAACTATCCATTTAAGAAATTTACTCCATGATTATCTGAGAACTGGCTGGAAATTTGCAGCGGTTGTTTTAAGCTCGTCTCTAAACTATACTCTCACTTATGTGTCTAACATAAACGAGTCGATAAAGTATGGTAAACACTACAATCTTCATTTTAGTACTTCGAATAGTGGATTCTGATGAATAACAAAAAATAGAAAAGATTGTTTTTAATGTCACTATTCGTCTTACCCTGATCAGTCAACATTTTATTTCAGCAATATCTATTTTTCTGAGGATGCTAGATCCCTATAAATCACTGTGTAAACGTCTTATTTTTGTAATTTTATTCTAAAAATTTGCATTTCTCATTTTCGCGCCAAATGTGCGCATTTTTACCTTCATTTTGTATTTCCCACTTGGGAGGACCTTAGATGTCATTGGTTCGTTTCCTCTTTTAATACGCTGTTTTGTGACGTTTCTCAAGGACATCTTTACCCAGTGTATATATGCTTAAGTTGTATACCTGTTCGTTCGACCTCTTATGGAATGCACATTTCCTTCGTCTAAATCTGGTCTCCTTCTAGTTTGCAGGGTTAGGGCGCAGTGAATAGTTTAGCTCACCTTGTTTTTCTGTTACTGATCCTTCTTTCCGTTCACCGATTTTAGGTGATCTCGTAATCTCCTCAAACGTAGCACTTCTTAAACTAATTAACGTTCTTCTAATTCCTTTTTAAGAAAGGTACATAAAATAATTAAGTTATGGGATATATGTACAATACCTCACAATATACACTTACACAGTGTATATCTTAAAACATCCATTTGATAAAAACCAACACTTGTGCATTTGATATAAAAAGGCTTATTAAAGCCGATTATTATTCCGTCATGTCTTGATCACTGTTGATCCATCCTGTTGTGAGCTCAGTTCACACAATATGCTTTATCTAATTGTGTTCTTGAGCAAAACTACAGATACCCAGCGCCTTTCATACTATTGACCTACATGAGCTCATACGTGATTTATGTAGCAAACGCTCCTCCCTAAACCCTAGTCACAAAACTTGAATGGCATTTAATGAAGGTTTACTGAAAACGTTAGTTAGATTTCGGATGCATTTTCATACTTCTTATAAATATATAATGAGTGCTTGTTTTTCTCTAAACAATTAGGTCATCATTATTTAATTTACATCTGTAGAAAAATAAACTCGTTTAGCACTTACTTTATCGAAATGTTACTTCGTCTTTTACTTCAAAATGGGTCTTTTTTCAGTCACTTATCCACAAATTTCTATTTTCAATTATAGATATGTACGGTGGTGTAAACTTTTTATCTAATGAAAGAGTGAGTCCGGCAATGACGGTTAACAGTCAGTATGACTCAGATTCAGATACTACTCAAAAAGGGAGTGGTTCACGGTAGGTTTCAAGATTTCATCAATGAATTTAACCTGATCTTTAATACCTTAGTTGCCAGTGTATTTATTTCACGAAGCATTTTTACGATTTTGTAGGTTCTATCCACGTCTAAACTAATTTCTGTAGGAAACCAACACTGAATACTACTAACATTTGTATAAACCTCACCATCAGTAGTTATACGTTAGCACAGAGAAAACTAAAGTGGATTACATTCGCCTTCCGAATTGCAACCGGTGGGCCTTAGAAAGCTACTTTGTTCATTTTGGTTAATATATAAAGAGATATAATACACTTTTTGTAGTTGAACTATATGGTTTTGAAATCCGTTATGAAAAAAGACCTTTCGATGCTCTACTTTTTCTTAGGTTTTTCAGGTTTTGAATTTTGTTAATACTGTCTTGCGAATTTCTGTTATGATGTAAACTAATTCTTTCAGGAAACTCCTAGATGAAAAATGAATTCTCTTGCAGTATGAAGGAAATAGGACTGTAATTGTATAGAACTTTTTAATAAAATCAAAATTAAATCCCAGAAATCAATGGCTGCTTCATTATACTTCATGTACTAACCTACATACACCTGCTACCCCTCTCCGAGGAACATAGGCCACCCATCAGCTTTTTGTATCGAAATCTGTTCTGGGCAATCTTCTCCAGTTGTTTCCAACTGTTATTCATTCTTTTGGTGCCTACATTAAATTCCCGACGCCATGTGTTCTTTGGTCCTTCTTGTTGCCTTTCGTCTTCAGGACTCCAAGTCAGGGCTTGCCTCGTGATGCAGTTTGATGACTTCCGCATTGTATGTCCTACCCACCTCCAGTGTCTCTTCCCAACTTCCTCTTCATTTAAAAATTAGTTTGTTCTCTACCACAGTAGGTTTTTGCTTATGGTATCCGGCCAACGGATAGTGAATATCTTCTGTAGACAACTATTTATAAACACTTGTACCATCTTGATGATGGTTGTAGTAGTTCTCCACGTTTCATCTCTGTACAATAGAACCGTCTTGACATTTGTATTGAAGATTCTGACTTTCATATTGTTTGACAGTTGTTTTGAGTCCCATATGTTCTTCAACTGTAGGAATGTTGCCATTACTTTGCTGATCCTCGCCTTTACGTCCTCATCCGATCCTCCGTGTTCATCGATGGTACTTACCAGGTACAAGAAAGTTTCCACATCTTCCAGAGTTTCTCCACCAAGTGTGATTGGGTTGGTGTTCACCATGTTGTATTTGAGGATCTTGGTTTTTCGCCTTGTGTGTGTTGAGGCGTACTGATGCAGAGTTTGCTGCTACACTGTTTGTCTTGACCTGCATTTTTTGGTATATATGGGATAAATAGCTTCATATTTGTTCAAAAACTACTGAAATTGGACTTGATCGTGTTCTATTTAGTAAAGTTTTGTATATACTCTTTGTACACTGACACGGAAGCAAACTTAATCGGCGATGTTAAAAACAAGATATATGGATAGCTAAAGGCGTCTGTACGTATACCTTTGTTTTAAGACCTGGAGACTTGTAAATATCTGAATAGTGTACCTACTATCATGTTTAAGACCTACCTATTTACCTCTAAGTTCTTTGTTCTTGAGTTTCGGTTAAGGATTCCATCTTATAAGATCTGTGTTTATCTCAAGTGAGTTTTGTTCCAGTTTCTAAGGAAAACTGTTATTGATAATTTGCATATATTGATTCAAAAATCAGTTATTTTGACTCAAATGTCGGACCGAAATATCTAAGGGTTTCCTTAAGCTTATCATTCTAAACTGCTGCTTTATACGGTTTACTTATATTGTAACTCTTCATAATTTGGTTAGTTTTCTGAAGGATTCCAAGTTACAGTGAAGCGAATGTGATTAAAATCCAGTTGAATGACGCTTCTGTCATTTCACTTATCGATTGCGTAAAATGATATCGATTTACAGTTTAAGAATATTACATTTTGGTAAGGATCAGTTAAGAGTTCTTAATTTATGTTACTGACATCTAGCAAACGTTAATCGACATTTCAAGAACTTAAGTCATCTAGTATTAACACCATAATCTTATCAAATCCCAGTAGAGATAACCATAAGACTTCACTTACAGTCTCCTATCATAATGCAAATATTCATACCAAATCCTTTAAAAGACGTAGCTCTCAAATCAACGTTTTGGGGACAGTGGGATCTGGTGAGATGAACGTTTTAGTTAGCTGATCGTATTACTGACTGAATATTTTGACAGTAGCATAAAGACCACGCATATATCTCAGTAGTCAAAGTTACCTCATAAATTAACCTAGTTTGTTGTGAATTAACGGATTCCTAAGATCTGTGTTAATCTTTTCTTGATTACTTAGTCAATATTATGTTTTAACAAAACACATCTTCGTATATAGGATGTGTTTCTTTTCAACTTATTAGTAATTATCACTGTCTTAAGACTTCAATGAAAAGCCTAACTAATTAAGCGAATACACCCTAAACGAAAATAAGTTTGGATATTTACTGACTTTCCGTAGGAAGAATTTTTTTCTTATAGCTGACTGTTTACAGTGTGTTGATTTGATAATTTACTTCACCAGTTTACTTAAGCACACCCAACTCTACTATTTTAGAGATCATTACAAATTTATAAAAATTGATAGTGTGTAATCCTGTCTTTTTTTTACATTCAATCAATTTGTCAAGTACTGTGAAAAATATTTGAACTACGAAATTCAATGTAGGTGGGTAGATATGGACTATTTACTTTTATGTCTTCTAACTTTAGCATAAACTCCGAACAAACATTTTGCGTTACGATTCAGTACTTGTGTAATTAGATGAAATACTACAGTAGGATATATATATATATATATATATATATATATATATATATATATATATATATATATATATATATATAACGCCATTTAAAGGAGTGTTTTTTTTAGACCAGTTTATGAAAAACTCTCTGCATGTCTTCTCCGTTTGTTATGTGTTCCTTAAAATTAAGGTCAAAGAGATTTTAATTACTTTACTGATAGTATTCTCAACTTGTAATTTGGATAATGAGTTTATTTACGAATGAGTCTGAACAAAGCAAAAGGTTATGAAATTGAGACTAATTTATAGTTGGGAAAATTTTGAACTGTTTTCTGGAATGGTAGTCATGTTTTGAATATACTGACTTTCTGATATTATTTTAGATTAATTTCATTTATTTTAAATCATTGCATTGCAAATATAAACAGATATTTATGCATTATTTATTTTCCTAATTGTTAAAAGTAATACAGATTATGAAAATGATATACAAGAGAATAAGATACCTAGTTCAGGATTAGAATATTTTAATACCCGAAACAATATCATTAATAAGTTGAAAAAGTAGTCGACGAGAGAAAAACATTTTGTATACCAAACAAAAGCGAGTTTCGATTGGTGTTTCTGATATCTAAAATGAGTATGCTTGGATTCAAATATACATTAGAAAGAAAAGGATAAATATTTTAAAACTATTGATCTGTTAGTTTCTTGTACATAACTATGATGAACCACTGCTCAGTGTGTATAATATCGTTATATGATGTTCTTCTACATTATTAAAATAAATATAATGAAATCTTGTTCATCCTTTTATACCGATATCTTGAAGGGGTAGTAAAGCATTTCTTTACTGAAATTATCATAGAGAAGAAAACCTAATAGTGTTTATTCTGATTATTAGCGACTTTAGTTCTACTAATGATTATAACCTCAGTATTTATGGACATCCTTGATACAGCAGAATATGATAGCATTGCTACCAAACTACTCAAAACTCTGTGTACACCCACTAGATCGTTCATTATAAGAATGCAATATATTCATCAGAACGGAATAGTTAGCATGTCAACACCCGAAGGTAAACAAGCACGAGACTACCAAGGTGTTTAACTGAAGAGATGTAAAAAAGAGTCTTAAGTGGGTAATAGAATAGCGTGAATTGTTGATTCACTAAAACCAGTGAGATCAGCATCAGATGTTGAATATCTTTTGAACTATAGACTCTGGAGAATTATTCAAGGTTATATCTGCTTAATTATTTGAAAAAATTAACTCTTAGAACAAATTCATTGTTATTGTTTACTTGAATCTTCCCATTAATGTTTAGAACTGAAATTAATCAGTCTCTTATTAGCATTTGTGCATAATGTTCGTATTTACTCGATATTGCATTAATTCACAAGCATTATAAGCATAGATGGATAGTGGCTAGCATTAGAATCCAGTTATTACTTGTTATAATTTTCAAAAACTACTTCATTTTTGAAGAACAGTATCATGTGTGAGATAAGGTTTTAGACGATTACTGTAATATACGGATTACCACTTACTTTGAAACTGGGAACCATTAAAATTCTCATGACGAGAAGTAAGAACACAAAACATTGGTACAAGTGAAGATTTGTTCACTCCGAAATTCGACGACCCTAGTCGAAAATACATTCATATATGTATCGATCTGTATACCCAATTACTTATTAATTACAAAAGTGTCGAATATATGAAATTTAAAAAAATCTCACATTCTACAAGTCACTCTGAATTGAGTTCATTTTAATTTAATACAAGGAAGAATAGACTAAATAAAAATCTCAATGAAGATAAATGTAATCTTATGTTGAGTAAATTATTGCATTGAAGATATAACAAATATTATTTTGAGCAGTTATCAAACAGAATTGATGCAAGGAATATAATTGTCACACTGAACGAAAGTTCACAGCTGTCATCCTGGCCGAAGATCACGGTAAATCGATGCAGAAAATATTGACCGAAATAGTGTCCTCTTCTTATCCCGTCATGTCAATTACCTATTAGTTAGCGAAACGGAGAAATAATCCTTGATTTTCAATTATGAATCTTTGACTTCGTGAGTTTTCAGACATACTGATAATCTTCATTGATATTTCAATCTACCTTTGAAAAGTTAAGTGTTTTCTGACAATGACCCATGAATATAAACAATTAACTTATTGAGAGCTAACTATCAAACTGAAATGAATGAATGTTACAGGCAAGTTTATGACCACAAATTCAATGGAAATGAGGTCTAACTTTGATATAATCGAGCTCCTATAATTTATTCACCGAAATAATTAATTAGACTAGATAACGCATCCGCTGAAAAACAAAGTACTTATATAAAATTTTCAGTGTTAGCGTGAAGCTATTACAACTGATGGTCGTAGTTATTTAGTTGAGATTGATTTCATCGGTCACCCACACATAAATTCATCCTTGTCGATTAAATCATTGTGCATTTATATAGAAATTTTATGTATACATTTTATGGCAATAGCATTTTATTTCTCACTATACATACGTCACTTTCTGAACTCCTTACATTCATGTATAACATGCTAAATTTTTCTTTACATTTAGATATTGTTGATCATTTTGTTTGGTGTTTAGGTACTACAATCATGTATTCGGTGTTGTTTGTTTTTTACTAACTGTATCAGTTGTTTTACTTAACCTTTATATCTAATGCGTACCATCTTCATTTTCTGTATTGAGTTGCTCACCACTGAGTTATTTGATTTGATTTATCCATTTTGCTCAGAATTACATTCTTTGCTTTACAAGAGCGTTTCGTCCTCTTTGAAAACTGCTGTGTTTTTCAATGATTTATCTACTTAATACTTTGCATTTTGAGTCTACACAGCCTTAAGGTACAAAGTAACATTCTCTGCTCGGCGGGAAACTTATCTTTTCTGACCGTTTTATTGTATCAGGTCGGGTTGTATTTCTGCGGTATTAATACTGTTTGGGTTTTGTGTAACCTAAACATTATTAATATCCTTATGTTGAACAATATCTTTGTTATGAGCAAACCTTTAAATTTTGATAAAGTGTTGAAGATATACAGAATATACCGGGACATAAGTGATTCTGATTTTTACAAATATCATGGGCTAGTTATAAAGCGCTGTTGTTCTCATTAATTGAAAACTGTTTAGTTTTACTCGCTATTTCCTGTTGTCAGTAGTTTTTACTCTGTAATTAATCAGGGTAACGGAAAGATCGATTGACAAGTGCTCACATTCTTAATAGAATGCCGGGTCATTTTTCACCCTATATTTATCGATTGTTCAATGTTTTCGTCTTCTAATTGGAACTTTGTGAAGTCATTGATAGAATAGGATTAACAGTGAGGAAGTATAACTTTCGACTATCATACGAAGGACTGTTGTTTATATTTCTGTTATATGATTAGTAGCTGCTCAGACTGTTATATTTCCATATTCTACTACTTTTAAGCTTTCTTTTGATTCGTAAATCATAATATGCCTATTATTCCAGATTTGTCGTTTATTACTCACTCTTATTACGCCGGTTTTGCATCACTTATAACTAATTTATGTATACATAGCACTTTCAATCATGTTATTGTGTGTTCAAATATTTTGAGTATATTACTGTATGAGTTTCAAATAATGATTAAATTGAGTACAATACAGGGCTGATCTGCTTTCTATCTTCACTTTCTGATTTGTTGCTGGCTTAGAAGGAGCTGAAGGACCGAAAAGTGCTATGGTCTTTGTTGTTTTTAAATGAACGATGTGTTGATTAATAAGTAGGTTTCTGGTTATACTGACAATATAGGTACTATAAACAATAATCGGATCAGAGAGAGATCATACAACTGCTTTCCTATCATCAAGGTTTGATCACACAGGACCTAATACAGTCGAGAAATCTGTTTTTTTCTATATAAAGGTAATTTGCAAGAGTCGTTAAGGAGTAAAATAATCATATATATGTGCAGGACGTCTTGAGACCGGTTGAATGAAAATGTTAGCTATTTGAGATCGGACTTTTCCAGGCCTAATATAATAACTAGTAGTGATCGTGGTAACCGATGAAATGAATGTCCCATGGTTTGTCCAAAACACTAACTAATAGTCATTGACTGATCATGGTATAAATATAAGAGGAAACTGCAAACAAAAGTGAATAGATAGTATCAAATATAACAGAGAAAGTTCTGCAAAGGATTTATCGCTTGTAACAAACATCATACCCACCACAGCTTAAATTATAGTAAGGAAAATGACATTTCACGCTGAATTTCCGTTGAAAGTTCATCGGATCTGAATCCATATATAAAGCGAATTCTGTATTTTTATTCCCTTTCAACCAACCATGTTTAAACTAACCATAATTCAACCTGATTTCGGACACCTAATAGCCACCACACGAAAATACTGCCTAAAACATGTTCATAATTATCATACAATCGAGAACCAAGGAAGATAGATTTTTATAAGTGTGTATTTACTATCTTCAGATAGTGTGAATATATGTTGTGAATGATCGGTATATAGTGTGTTACACCTGTATTGATATTGGTTATACCATGCTAATAAAATTTCTAGCCAGAAAATAAAGAAAACAATCATAGGTAAACATAACTTACTCCTTTGATTAAAAAATAATGGTAGAACTATTTCTCAACTCTGTTATTTTTAGATTTCATTGGCACTGATTTAGAACAACTTTAATTAAATAGTATCCGTCGTTGTATAAATAATAATCCAGTTAACCACAAAAAGAAAGGAGAGAGTAAGCAGCCTTGTCAGATTCCCCTCACTTTCCAGAAGCAATAATGAAATCCCAAACGTTCTAAATGAATTTGTAGATTATAATTATTTAAGGATTTAAAGCTGTTTTAAGTATTATTTAGCATTAGTGTACTTTATGGCCATGCATCCAATATATTGTGCTACATATTCCGAACTCAAAGAAAAATATATAAGTGCCATGAAATTGAAAGTCCGATCAACCAAGGTGAATATTCTGAATTGATAAATAATCCATATTGTCTATTAGATTGTATTGCCGCTAATTTCCTCATTCTTATTTGGAAATGTCACTCTACTAATGAGTAGTCAAAGATATCTACTGGAAATTTATTCGTAGTGTTCTGGACTCATCACGGTAATACGTGGTAAAGAAGTAAGAGAACTACATAATATTACAAATTCACAACTCGCATAGGGGAATCAGCAATAAGAACACAATGTCCAGATTTAATAAGGTTAGGGTATTTTCTGGACAATAGATTAGAAATGAAATCATGGTGCAACTTATCATTGCTTATCGAGCAATCGTTTTAGAAAGGTAATGCACACGGTAAAACCAAGTTTCGGTAGATTTTTGGCATCTTTTAATGAAAGTAAATTACAGAATTTCCGTTGAATTTGACCATTATTAAAAAACCTATCTGAATGTTAATCTCATCAAATTTAAAAGTTAGTCCCTTTGATAAATTTCGATAATGATATTAGAAGACGAAGATTATCAGAACTATGTGATATATTAGCGCAATACATTTCGAACAAT